ACCAGCCAGCCCGGACCCCACCGCCACCCCCACCCCACCGCCACCACGGCCGCCCAACCCCCACCAGCGCCCCCCCACCCAGTCCGCCCTCCCCTCCCCCTTCCTCCCTCCCTCCCTCCCCCCCTCCCTCCCTGCCTCTGCACAGGAGGTGGACATCTCCGCCTCCCGCAAGGCCATCCTCATCCGCGTTCCCTACCGCCTGCTCAAGGCCTACCACAAGATCCAGCAGCGCCTGGTGCGGGAGCTGGAGAAGAAGTTCAGCGGTGAGCTGCCGCTTCTTTCTTTCTGTGGTCACAGCCTGCGTATACGCACAGGAACTTGCGACGCAGGCAGGCAGTGCGGCGCCTGCGGGTGGCGGCCGAGTCTGGTGTGTTTGGCGCCTTGTTGGGGAGGGAGGGAGGGAAAGGGGGAGGGAGGGGCCAAAAGGAAGGGGGACCGCTGGCCTGCGTCTGGTGGCACTGGTGCAGCCTGTGCTGCCGTCTCGGCGGTGTGCTGCGGCTGCTGCTGCGGCCGCTGGCTGGCTGCTGCTGGCTGGCTGCCCATGTGGCGGCGGGGCAGCACGTGGGCAGCGGAGGCTGGCCCAGGCGGGCGAGCGGGTGTGGAGGCTGGCAGCTGGCAGGGAGGCGGATGGCGAGCGGGATGCAGGCGCCAGCTGAGGGAGTAGGGTGGCGGAGTTTGGGCGCACGGCGCATGGCCGCCGCACCGGCAGCCACGCGTAGGTGGCAGGCAGCAGAACAGCAGTGCCGCCGTGTGGTGCCAGCAGCAGCGGCCAGGCGCCAGCAGCGGCCAGGCACTCGGCTGCCTTGCGCCGGCAGCCCCGCGCAGCTGGCAGCACGTGCAGGGGGGGGGGGGGGGCTGTGCAGCACCGGCGCAGCAGGGCTGAAGGGGCAGCCATACCTCCAAGCCTCTGCATGCACCCTGGCCCCAGGCTGCTGCCGTGTGCCTTCCTTTCCTTCTCAACGCACACACACATGCACACACTCTGCCGCGGTGCGCTGCCCGTCTCGCCCCACCTCCCTCAGCGCCCCGCCTCCCTACTCACCCCGCCTGCGCCGCCCCACGCCGTGCAGGCAAGGACGTCGTGATTGTGGGCGTGCGCCGCATCATGCCGCCCGCCAAGCACAGCCGCCGCACGCAGCGCCCGCGCACCCGCACCCTCACCTCGGTAAGGGGCGCTCGCCTGGAGCGGGCCGGGGCCAGCGTGCCGGTGTGGGGAGCCCGCTGGCGTCGTGGGCAAGGGGCACGTTGGCCGTTGCCGCGGCAGTGAAGCGCCAGCCACGGACGCAGCCGGCACGCCAGCATCCCCGGCCCCTCATGTACCGCCCCCCTCATGTACCGCCTGTACCGCAGGTGCACGAGGCCTACCTGGATGACCTCGTCTACCCTACTGAGATTGTGGGCAAGCGCATCCGCTACAGGTGGGCTGGGTGGAGCGGGGCTGAGGGTGGGAGGGCTGGGATGGCTTGAGGAGGCTGAGGAGGTGAGGGCTGGGGGCAACAGGCGAGGGCTGAGTGGGGGCTGTGGGGTAGGCTCGGTGGCGGCGTTTGCAGCTTGGAGTGCCCGCCGGCTGGCTGCCTCTCCTCCACCGCCGCTGCTGGCTCCTTTTGCTGCCGCCACCGCGCTCCACGTCCCACCCCGCTCGTGTTGCCCTGCCCCCCCTGGCCCCCATGCCCTCCCCACCCACCCGCCCGCCCCGCGTGTGTGTTGACCTGCCCCCCGTCTGTCCCTCCCCTCCCTCCCCTCCGCAGGCTGGACGGCTCCAAGGTGCTCAAGGTGCTGCTGGACCCCAAGGACCGCAACAGCGCCGAGTACAAGACGGAGACGTTTGCGGGGGTGTACAAGAAGCTGACGGGGCAGGACGTGGCCTTTGAGTTCCCGGTGCAGGAGCAGCAGTGAGGCCGGCCCCCCAGCTGCCCCCCGCCGAGGATGAGCTCCCCTGCCGGCGGGCGGCGCCGAGCCCGGCGTGCTCGGCTGCCGAGGAGCCTTGAGGCTGCGCCGCGCCCGCCAAGGCGCGGCGCGGCGTCAGCAGCAGCGCGGGGGGCGCGTCGGCGCGGCGCGCAGGCCCCCCCAGCGCTCCACACTACCCGCCTGCTTCCTTGTAGGCATGTTTAACACACTAGGCCGCCAACGCGCTCGCGCGGTTGAGAATTGAGGAGGGCAGGGCAGTGGAGGGCAGGGAGGGTGGGGCTCGGCGGGGTGGAAAGCTTGCGGCGTTCAGGGTGCTGCTCACCAAGGCTGACTGAGAAGCAAGCAAGCAGAACAGGGAGCGCTGCCCTGTCTGTTCACCCCAGCAGCCCCGCAGCTTGCAGTCCCAGCACCAGGCTGCGCACGGTCACGCTCGGATGCAGCACCAGGTTCGCCAGCGGCAGGTTGGTCAGCGGGGAGCAGGGCGGCTGGCCCGCCGCTGCCTGGCGTGCCATCCAGGCTGCAGGGCAGGCAGAGGGGGAGGGCAGGGGTGGGCTGGAAGGGCTGCCACCAGACAAGAGGGAACGTGGCGTCAGGAAACACGCCGAGGACACAGGCGTGCGCTGCTGCTGTGCTCCCTCCATCCCCACCCACCCACCGTCGATGGCAGCTCTTTCGTAGGTGCGCCCATCTGCCGCCACTACGGGGTCACGCATCGGCTCCTGAGTGATGGGACACAGCAGCTCGCTGAGCAGGCCAGGGGGGCAGGCTGGCAGTGGCAGGAGGCGGGTCCGGGCTGCCGGGCGCAGCGCCCGGGGCGGGGCTGGTTGGCGCTGGTGCCTCTTCTGCCGCTGCCGCGCTCGTGGCCGGCAGCGGATTCCTGACGGCAGCGAAGGAGGGACCCTCCCTTGCTGGCTGCACTCCCAGCTGCTGCAGCAGTAGCGCCAGCTCGTCGTCGTCGACACCGCTGCTGCCTCCGGCTATCGCCGCCGCTCCTTCTGCTGGTGCCCCTTCAGCTCCCAGGGTGGGTGTGGCACCGCCGCTTCCAGCGGCTGCCAGCGAGTGTGGTTGCGCTGCCGCCGTTTGCGTTCCTCCCGTGTTCTTCTTCTTCTTGCTCTTCTTCTTGCCGCTGCCCTGCTGGCTGCCAGTAGCAGCAGCAGGCGTGGCGGGCATAGCAGGGGTGAGCTGCTCTGCCAGTTCAGAACCTACCGATGCCGGCGTAGACGTGCCTGCAGCTGCAGCTGATGCATCTTCTGCCTGCTGAGAAGCTGGCGCTGGCACCGCAGCCTGGCCTGCGGCAGTCTCACCCGCCTCGTCAGCCGGCACAGCAGCCCGCTGCCGCTGCCGCTCCTTCTGTCGCTGCCGCTTGGCGGCCTTGGCCGCCTGCCTGGCCGCTTGCTGCTGCTCCTCGCGCTCCTCCTCTGCCAGCAGCTGGGCAGCGACAGCCTCAGCCTTGGCAGCAGCCGTAGAGGCTGGAGCAGTCCCCTGGGTTTCAGCCTCCTCCCGGCATGAGGCCCTGCTGCTGCGCACACCTGGCTGCTGCTTTTTCGCCTGCTGCTGCTTCAACTCCAGCAGCAGCTGTGCTGCTTCCAGTTTCCTATTCCTAATTGCATGCATGCGAGGGGTGAGGCCTTCCTCATCCCGCAGCACCATGCTCGCCCCTGCTGCAACCAGGCAGCGGATGGCTGGCAGGTGGCCGCTTGCTGCTGCCCAGTGCAGGGCTGTCATTTCGCTGTGGTCGGCTGCGTCAATGTTGGCATGGGCAGCGATCAGCATGCCAAGACATGCGGTGTGCCCACAGGCTGCTGCACCATGCAGGGGTGTCATGATCCCACCAAAGAGAGTCGCCACGCTTGCCCCCGCTGCCAGCAATGCTTGCACACATGCCTCGTGGCCCTTCCAAGCTGCCATCTGCAGCCCTGTCAGCCCATATGGGTTTGGTGCGTCAATGCAGGCACCTGCCGCCAGCAGCTGCTGCAGGCAGCCCAGGTGGCCTTCCAGGGCGGCAGCCTGCAGCGGCCTCTTCCAATCCTTGGCTGCCGCTTCAGTGTTTGCCCCCGCCGCCAGCAGCTCTCGCACGCAGGCCTCGTGACCCTGACGCGCCGCCAGGAAGAGAGCTGTGGCGCCCCCCTCAGTGACGGTCACCTCGGTGCAGGCACCAGCGGCCAGCAAGACTCGCAGGCACTCTGTGCTGCCTGCAACTGCTGCCCTGTGCAGCAGCGTCTGGCCGTCGCTGTCCCTATCAGTGAGCAGGCTGGGCTGCTGGCTGAGTAGTGTCTGCAGCTGTTGCACGTCGTTGCGATCCACTGCTGAAGCCACTTCATCCATTGAGCTCATCTGCAAAAAGGGGGCAGCCGCGGTGAGTGTCACCGTCGAAGAGCGGCGGCTGAGGAGCAGGCCGCCTGCCCACCGTGACGGCACCAGCCAGCTTGCCTCGTGCGTGCTTCAGGCAAGGATCAGGTGCCTGCTGGAGCCCGAAAAAGCAGCCAGCAGGAGCTGTCTGAGGTGCTGTGGCAGTCGCGTGAACCTAGTTGCGGCTGAAGGCCGTGACTGGCTCATCCAAGGCTTTGAGACGACAGAGGCAAGCAGAAGAGCCTCGGTGCTGTGCCAGGGCCTGCTTCTGCCTAGGATGAGCTTTCCACCGCCACGTCGCCGTTGCCGCTGTGTGCCGCTGGGCACGGAGGCAGAAGTTGTGCAAAGCAGCCAGATGGCGCCGCTTGCGCCTCATCCCCTGCCCTGCCGGCTGTGTGTGTGTGCACTTGGAGGCCATGTGAACTCCCACCCTCCCCTCCGCTCCTGTCCCCTTTTGGCCTCCCCCACAGCATGCTGCAGGCCCTGGTCGGCAATGCCGCACATCACTCCGAGCGAGTGAGTCTTCGGTATTTATGTGGCGAACAGCTGACGCACGCATTCCGGCCAGGCAGCCAGTAGAGGGGTGCATGCTGGCGGCACCGTGCCTGCTCCCCTCCCCCGGGCACGAAGGGCAAGGGTACAGCCCGAGCACAGGGGGAGGCAGCAAGGGGTGGTGTACAAAGGGGCAGCCTCGGGCACGGTTGAGCCTGGTGGCTGGCTGGCTTCTTTGCTGCACAAGCGCTGCTGCTCTGCTCCACGGTTGACGTTGGGCTGCAATGCTAGCTGGCGGCAGGAGAGCTCCTGATGAGGGAGGGGGCCTTGTTACATAGGCTTGCGTTCCTGATGCTTGAGTGCTGGGTGCTTGCCCTGCGGAAAGGGCGAGGCCAATTCGTCGCTGGCTGGCAGCGCGATCCATTGCCCGGCTTCGGTGGAACAAGCGGTGTGCGGCCCTGGCTGCCGGGCACGTGGTGGATCCTTGTGTTCCCTTTGCATTTGGTTGTGGGTCTGTCGCGTTTCCAGACAATCAAGCACGCAGGAATCCCCTTGAAGCGAAGCACAGCCTCTTCTGCCAGCAGGCGGCCAACCCGTGCCGCCATGCCAGCTCAGCGGCGGCACCCTTCCAGGCGCAATCTCACCGGGACACCCGCGGGGCTTGAGCGAACCCCGATCGCTGTCCTGGTGCGGTGGAGCAGGTAGGCCTCCCGATCACCGGTCCCCTCCTGGCGGGGGTCATGCATCCCCCACCCATCATGCATTTCAGGCTTCATCTCCCTCAAACCTCCACCATTTTCCCTCTCGTTTGTCGTGATCGACTCCGGGTAGCCCAAATGCCATTCTAGCGGGGACTATGGGCCGCGACGAAGCGACCAACTCTGGTGGCAAAGGCAGCAGTCTCGGCGTGTCTGCCAAACGCCTGAAAGGCGGCACCAGCAAGTCCCAACACAAGCATGTTACAGCTCTACTGCAAAACTGGGACAGAGTCACCAAGGCGCATCCTGACCTGCGGGGCGTTCTGCTGTTACAGTCTGCATACTCCAACAGCAATGGATGGGCTAGAACGCACAATCTTGCCGGCATGGGCCCACTGCTGAAGGCTCTCTTGGTGGAGATAGTGGCATCCGCCGGCGGGCGGCGGGTGACGCCACGCATGGTTGCCGACATTGCGGAGGGGGCGACGGCGGAGAACTTGCAGTTCCTTTTGCGAGTTCTGGAGTTTTGTACAGCTGCCGAAGTCGTGGGGGGAAAGCATGTTGAGATGATGATGAATGCTGTCACGGGCTGCAAGCTCGACGCCCCGCCAGGTGCGCCTGGTGGCCACGCTCAGCCAGCCAGTCTCTCCATGCCTTGGTCCTGCAGGCTCTGCCTGCCTTGCCTGCCTGCCTGCCTGCCTGCTCTGCCTCCCTTCATCAGTTCCTCGGCTGCCTGCTGCAGGCTTGGCAAACACCGCGT